TGGCCACTTAAGTGATAGTGTAAATTCTTAAATATACCTTAAATTGATTTATGTTTATAAGTTACAAACCTTTTAAAATCAGAGCTATATGTGTGTCTTCAAAAACTTTATATTGCTTTTTCCCTAGCCAACTATCTTTCCCTTGAATTTTATTCCAGATCAGCTTCTTATGGCTTCTCCTAACAAATTCATTTATGGTCTCTGCACCAATTTTGGAAAGATCATTATCCTAAAATATAAATCAACATGTAACAGTAATCTAACTACCCCACAAACTTGATCATCCATATATTGTTCTGAAGCTATTTTCTTGTTGCATTGTAAATTAATTACTATTTATAACTGGGAATAAGAATATTTAAAATAATAAACAAGAATATTTATTTATTTATATATTTATAATAAATTAATTATAATTTATAATAAATTATTTAATAATAATAAGGAATAAGAATAAGCTTATTCCCAGTTATAAATAGTAATTGGTCATCCATGCTTAATTATTTTAGCTTAAACCATCTAATAAAAAAACAGCCTCTGTTACAAAATCAAACATTCATTTGCAAATTTTGGTTTCTCATAACCATGGTAAATGCCTATTAAATTTACAATTTTAGGATATATAAACAAGATAGGATATGAGTGACTACTAAAACACTTTTTTTAGTGGGATTCCATCAAAATGTACACAAATTTCTATAACATTGTTTTTTTGTGAAGATAAAAAAACCATTGAAATTTGAATCATATGGATCAGAGTATTTGTTCTCTGGGTGAAGCGAAGCAAGAAGGGTTCTAGCATTTGAACTCAAATGAGAAAGGTCAGGAACTTCTTTATGAATTTTTAATAAATCACCTACATAAGGGATTGGACAAACCTCGATGTCCATGCACTTTTTAGAGCCACACAAAATCGAGAGGAGTATGCCATAATTGTCGTTAACATCCACTAATTGGATAGTGCACCCTAAGAAGAAGAATAAATCACCTAGTATTAAAGGACAAAGTCCAGTTGAATAACTTATTAGAAAAATTAAAAACATCTCGATAAGGTTCTCCAGAATTCTCGTTACAACCATGTTTAGACATTTCTTCAGTTTCATTGAAAGAAGAGCTTTGTAAAGGATCACCGGAATGGTCGTCCACGTGGTAATTTGCATTATTTTAGGTACTTAACATGTTAATAAAAAGTTTAAATCGGAAGTATTGTAACCTGAACTATTTGAACTGAATGATTCCGAAAAGGGATTCCGAATAAAGGTTTGAAGGAGATGGAATATCGAGGTTATTAATATTTTTAACAATATTCTCTACGTTTTTCGTAACCTTCCTCTGTTGATGACGCTTAGAAACAAATCGTTTTCTTTTAAACATAATTAATAAGTAAAAATTACACTTACCTTTAAAATAAAACAAATTTCTGAAGTATAACCTAACACGTGGTACCAAACCTTTAACAATATACTATAACCACAACACAAAGCCAAGCATCAAAAAACCAATGCACTGTATACTGCTTAAATAGAATCCTTTTATTTCATTTATTAAAGCACTAATAATATAAATATAAACAAACTGTGCCATTTGTTTAAATAGGTATGATATGACAGACAATGACATTATCATCATTATTTTGTTCAGCCAGAGTATATACTACCACTTGTTCATCTTTGAAAAATGATTTCAAGATTCATCTTGTTGATAAAAATCATATTTTTACTTATTAGAATTAGCAAACATTATATCATCGTGATAACTAGAATAATAAAACAATTGTAATGAATTATCTAGAAATAAAATATTTTTACACTTTACCTTAAAAAAACATGTTTTGGATATATTAAACTATTTACTAACTAATTTTTAATTAATCATGATTAAACCTTTTCGCTTTTAATTATTTTATTAACGTAAATATTTTTTTATTTTATTAAAATATTTGCTATTTGATTCCATAATTGGTAAATGTCAGATGTCCAGAAAACATCCGAGTTCGGACGTCCAGGGAACGTCCGAGTATGGACGTCCATGGAACGTCCGAGTACGGACGTCCAGGGAACGTCCATATTTAGTCCACCCAAAGTACGTCCCACTTCGTACGTCCATAGTACGTCCATTTTACGTCCAGGGACGTCCGGACCAAAACTGGACGTATATTGGACGTCCATAGGACGTCGTGTGTTACTAGGGATAAAAAAAGATTATACCTAATTATATATCATAAAAATTTGATTTGTATCACGATCATTAAAATTGATAAAATGAAACTATATAAATATAGAATTATGTCTAATGTTTCTTCAGAAGGCGTTTCAAATAAAAATTATAATAAAAATCTTATCTAATTAGTATCACGATCATTAAAATTGATAAAATGAAACTATATAAATATAGAATTATGTCTAATGTTTCTTCAGAAGGCGTTTCAAATAAAAATTATAATAAAAATCTTTAAATTTTTGTAGCATATTTTCCCACAGTTCCATATATTTATCAATCTTTTCGAATAAAATATTTTTTGGGGTCCATACCGCAAACTAATAGCATTCTCTATTCGATATAAATAACAAAATAACTGTCCTTGCACTGGATAGTAAGAGGAATCAGTTCTTTTTAAAATTTCTTGAAGGAAGGAATAATTTGGTCACGATATCATTTCCAATTTTGATTTTTGATATTGAATTTGATAGGTTTTGGTTTATTACACCAAAATCTAATAAAATATAACATGACACAAGAAATAGTTTCAGAATAAGTTTGATGTGTTGCTTATTATCATTCAGTAAGAGACTAATTTACTTCTTACAATGCTAATCTAACAGACAATTATTATTGTCAAATGAAAGAAATAAGGTAATTTACTTGTGGTTAGTAAAGGTCGGCCCTATGCAATTGGGCAGTTTGCAATTAATTGTCAACAAAGAACGGATTACAAAAGTTTAGATTTATGAGGAGCATTTATGAAACTATTGATGAAAATATTGTTTAAACAATTTATTAATTTACAACCAAATAGTGCACTAGAACTTTTTAAGACCTTCCATATAAAAAAAGAATCATCTCAATATCTGCAATAGTTTTTGCGTTATTTGATATAAACTTTTACATTGGAATTTACCTATGCCTAGAATCGCGAGGATCGGCCTTAATACTCAGCTCTTTTGTATTGGAAAGTGTGCTTTTTCACCAGCTTTTCATTGAGCTTACCAAAAACCTCAATGGTCAAAGCGTGTGACATAAAAATTCGAAAGTTATTATAATTGTTTATAAGCTAAAAAGTCAGTCCTTTTCCAAACTGTTTTTTATTAATAATTTTAATAAAAAGTGCAGTTTCTTTAATTAACCAAAAAATACTTATGTATTCATATAAAATCGATTTCGACAAAATTCCTCTAGAGTGAGTTTTTGGGCAAGAACAGTTGTTTAAATTATCGCTCTCTTAGCACACTTTAATGACTTATTAACTTCCACAGTTTTAAGTAGTTATATTTCATGTTTAATGTGCAAAAAACACAGTTATTATTATGTATAAATTACTTAAGGGTTTTTTGAAACTATCTTGGTGAATTCTTTATGTAGTTTAATTTAGAAACTCGCAAATTGAACAACATTTTAAGATCTACAATTTCAATTTTAACCATGTTTTGCTAGACTGCATAAAAATCTTTTAATAGGCAAAAAATGACTTTTTCACTTTTTAAGATTGTTTAAATCAAAGCAAAATCAGCTAGCTGTACGTCTTCACTAATTTTTCATCAGCTACCCCTCATATACCTTTTAGAACATTCAAATAACTGAATAATATTTTTACCTGAAATCAACGATTTTTCCCCGATAGACTGGTGTAGTTGATTTTAAATTCTGTCTGATATTCGCCCAATATTTTGATTATTATTCTTCCAATATGATTTCCGTCAATATTTTGTTAACTACTTCTAGCAACGCAATGCCTCTATAGTTTTTATATCTCATTTTGCCATTTCTTTTACGTATTATGCATATTGTTGCTATGTCTTGTCTTTATCCAGCCTTTTCCCTCCTACTTTTATATTTCTGGGCTTTTATTGTTTTTTAGTTCCTTTATTTCTTTTTCTATTTCTTCCTTTGTAGGTATTTCTACCATTATGTGATCAAAAAATGTATTTAAAAATTCTTTATAAAAGGTATATAATTAAAACACCCTGTTGAGCTATATCACAGAACGTTTTCGGAATTAATATTCCATCATCAGTGTATCTAGATGTCCATGTACATTATTTGATCTTATATACTAGGATGTTTAAGTTACAACAAGATTTGATAACATGGCAACGTAAGACTCCACTGGAGGTTGCTAGTCCTGAGGCAAAGTGTCTACGAGAACTTGTTGATAGCAACTATTGAGTTTCTATGTTATCAATTCTTATTGTAACTTAAACATCCTAGTATATAAGATCAAATAATGTAACTTAAATTTTTACCCAAGTATTTAGTGGCTCAAAATATGTACATCTAGATACACAGATGATGAAATATTAATTCCGACAACGTTCTGTGATGTAGCCCGATAGGGTGTTTTAATTTTATACCTTTTATAAAGGACTTTTAAATAATTTTTTTTTGATACATGGTATACAGCCAGCTACAGAAACTTAGTTTCCTTGTGGACTACGTGGTCATCTACAATTTTATGGATTGTTTCCCTCTTTTCTTCGTTTTTGTTTAATAGTTATGTAAAGTAAGTTTGCCAATTTCTCATTATTTCCCCTGGTTCATTTACCAATATTCGTGCATCATTCTTCATGAATGTGTTTTATTGTATTTCATTTTTTGTTTTGTATGTTCTCTTAATGGTTCTCCTCAGGTTCTCTTTGTATTTTTGTCTTCTACTAGTATTGTTTGTTAAATTTTCTATTCTTATTTTTCTAATTGCCTCTGCTACTTTCCTTTTACCATAAAAATAAATTTATATTAATTTATATTAAAGTTTTTTTTATTGACTTATAACATTTTATTTTCAGATTTTCCAACAATTACTTGCACAGCTTCAAAAGGAGACTTGTGCATGCCTATCAGACAATGTCCATTTTTTAACGATCTTCTGAATAATAATCCAATACCTCGACCCAGAAATGTAATAAGTGCTATCAGAGAAAATCAATGTGGTTTTAAAGGAAAAACTCCCTATGTGTGCTGTAGTAGGCCGACTACTATTGCCCCAGAGACCACAACAGAATACAAAACGGTATCTCCTTTTTCCACACACGTATCTGATAGATTTTCTGATTCTCTAACAAAACACTATAACTACCGTTTGCTACCCCAAAATATTTGTGGAATTGTCAGTACAGGTTCGAGGATTACTAATGGACAGACTGCTGGATTGAATGAATATCCATGGATGGCATTAATATTTTATAATAGTTCAGGTGAGCAAAATTTTAATCTATATTAATAAAAATGAATAGCCGAAATGTTTGTACGGGCATCACTTCAGAACGACTGCGCCAAATTAGATTATTCTTTTTTGATGTGTTTGTTATTATCATGAGAAGGTTTGTGTAAAAGATTACTAACCCATATTTCTTAATAGCCATATTAGTATCACAGAGTTAGTTGACATACTCCTCCGAAATGGGTGGAGCTAGATCTACGAAATTATACATATATATTCGGTAGGTCTGAGAATTGGTTTTTATTCCATTTTTTATGCCGCTGAGGGTTATGAGTGGTTCACTGCAAACATTTTTTTTTTATTTTTTGGATAAAATTTTCTATTTTTTATTCGGGTGTGGCGTTAAACCATAATAACTAATTATAATAATTTTTAACGTTTTATCACCAACTCCTATTGTTTAATATTAGTGACAGAGTAAGTTACCATACTCCTCCGAAATGGGTGACGTTTCATATGCGTTTTGAGGCAATAGAATCCCTTCCTATGTAAGAAGATATTGAAGATGACCTTGTCTAGTCTGAACATTGTGCAGATGTGGAGCAATCCATCTCTGAAGCATATCCCATACACTACGATGGGATTAAGAGCTGCTGATAGTGCTGGCTATGGTAAAAGTGGAATATCCTTATTATAAAACAAATATCTTATTGTTGTCCGAGCTGCTGAAGCCCAATTATGAACCACAATTAATGACTGTGATGATGATGATCTTATTGTTACTGCAGTATGTTGCCTTACACTATCCTGCTGGTAACGCAAATCAGGACCCACAGCAAATGCAAATGGTAGGACAAGATATGATCAATCTCTCTCTCTCTTCAATCCTGACCCCCCAGGGGGAGTGTAGTGGTCGACGTGATGTCGTGTATTGTCCGTATCCAGAGATCTCTGTTTCTGGTCATTCAAGGAATTCGTAACATTCGTCTCCAACAGAACATTTCAGTGGCGTCTATCTTTCTTCTCTCCGATTGTCTCAGAGTCCAAGATGATCAATCTATTGGTCTGCATTTAAAATGCATTCCCCAAAAACGGGAACAGTTTGATGATGAAATGTTATTCCAGCCACATCATAACTTGTAGACCACTGTATGAATGAACACCCTGTACATCCCTGAAACTCTCCGGTCGACCAGGTTCTTTCCAAACTCTTCCTTTTTTTGAATCAGGGTAGATAAAAAACCTAGCTTCATCTGTGAATAACACAGAACTCCATTATTGTAAGCCCCGATGCCCATGTTGTTGTTTCCACCTCAACGGACATCTGGCGTGCAGGCCAGCTTTATGTAATCTATTTCTCAAATTTTGGTGACATGCTTTGGTGAAAAGCTAAATCTACCAACTGCCAATCTGGAGCATTTATGAATTTAAGATGCTGTCATCTCTAACTTAATAAAACACCGCAATTGATAAATGAATTATCATGGAATAACTTGATTTGTGAAGAACAAGTTTTCAAATCGAATAGTTTGTATTAAAAAAAGTGTTTTTCTTCAAACGTCAAATAATGATGACATTACTTATCTAACTTCATCCTGTCAAAGTTTGATGTCTCCGCCGGCAGCAGTTTTTTTCCCATTTCTTTACGGCGGAGGGAAAAATGTTATGGCAACAATATGAAACATGTCACAAAGCAACAATACAAATGTCATTAACAACAATTAAACATCATTTTTATTTATAGTAATATTAAAAGTACAGTTAATTAATGAGGCATTTTCAAAATTGAAACCGTGCAAAAATGTTCCCGACTCTTGATACGCATTGGTAATTGTTGATGATACTGATGGTCGAGAATAACTTTTAGCAATCATTCCCGATGTTGGCGAATCATGAGGGTTTAAAATTTTTTGAGCATTATCGTTCTTATTTCTTATTGAATCCTCTATATATCCTTCGGCAACCGTGCTTGATTTCCAGCCCCGTGTCGTTTGAGGCATTCTAGATTTCCGCCTCCATCAATTAAAATTGTTGCTGAAGTTCGTCGTAAAGAGTGACCCGTGTATGCGCTTGCATCACTTGCATCGTTTAAATTAAAATCTCTAGCTACTTTTTGGGCTACTACGCTGATCGAATGTATTCCCATGACGATTCGGAAACAATTTCCATTTTGGTACTTGATAAAAAATCGGTTTTCTGTAAAATTTTCAGGCCGCAGTGATGCATAATTTTTAAACAGTTTAATGTAGTTTTGACCAATTATCGTAAAAGATCTAATTTGTCGTGTTTTACTGTCTGGGATTTTAATAATTATTACATTTTCTTTATCCTCAATGTCCACAGTCTTCATTTTTACCATTTCGTCGCATCGACAGGCGCCGGTAACCCCAATTAACAAAACAATCTGAAATATTTTTTATAATTTAGTAGAGTATACTACATGCTTTGCAATATAATTTTTTTTACCTTTAATCCTAAATACAACTTATCTGGCGCTTCAAACAAAAATTTATCAAACTCGTCTTTAGTGAAAACTTTAGACTTCTTTGCAGTATATCCTTCGCTTGTTTTTTTCAGAAAGGCACGTAACTTTAAAAATTTGCTTATATCCACATTTTTTCTAATAACTAATTCGGATTTTATCATAGAGTATCGTGACCACATTGTAAGAGATTTCCATTTATTTTCATTTTCCATTATATTAAAATATGCCAGTAAAACGTCTTCGGTAACTTGCCGTACTCCTCTTGTATCGCACCACTCTTGGAAGTGCTTGTACGCTAACCGATACTTTATTCCGGACTTGGAGGGCCCCAAACGTGCTACTGCATCATTAGCCACGGACTCAATTTCGTTTAGGTTTTCCATTTTCGCACTAAATTTACGCTTGCGGTTGCAACAACAATAAGTTGTCTTTAATAATTGCAAACAACTGTCAAACAACTGTAACCAGGGAGACGCAAATCCCACCGACGACTTAATTATTTTAATTTCTAACCTTTAGACGACTTTGATAGTTGTCACAGTTAATTTCGAGTAAAAATAGCGTATGAATTGTACTATTTATGCTTGAAAATTGCTACGTTTGAAGAAAAAATAGTATACTGTATTCGGTAAAGAAGCGACTTTTCTTGACTTGCCGTCTATTACGTGCCTCTCTTCGTTCGGCGCGTAATATTGGGCCCGTCAAGAAAAGTCATGCTTCTCCACCTCATAAAGTAATATACTATTATTGAAAGAAGTGAAATAATAGTGGTGTTCGTTAGACATTTTTGATGTGTGTATAAAAGTTATTTCTTTTTCGTTAAATTTGGTATATTTATTGTGAAACTCATTTGTCTTATGTACAACAGAACTTCTTTTACAAAACCCATGTTATGTAGGACTTGCCATAGACTTGTTTTGACAACGTCACCAAATGCCCTCCCTTTTAATTTATACAAAATGGTATTTAAAGTCACCTGTTCCTTATTTCCTTATTTATACGCATTTGATATATACGGTATTACGAATTTAAAATTTTAGTCCTTTCCAAAAATCGTTTGTGACGGCGAGTTTTGCGGTGATCGTTTTCCAACAGTTCACTATTGTTATTTTTTATTGCAGATCTTAATTTTGATTAGTTAATTCATGAGCCATCGCGGATTTTTCAAAATTAACAAATAAGATCTTAACAATTCGAAACAATACATTCAACTAAAAGATTTCATTTTAACAAATTTCATTTCTCCAATAAAATGACTTCACCTTATCCGCCCTACCTGTAAAAGCGTACGTGATACGGGCGTTGTTCTCGGCTAAAGGTGATTTTAATGATTTCTCGAAATTGAACTAATTTACACCCTGTTGTTTTTTTTTTATATATTTGACGATATCTAACACTTCTTCTTTCCAAATGTCACCAATTTCGTTGGTATAAAATTTTAACTTAAAATTATTATAACTATAAAATTAATTTACTTAATAATTTGAAACCCGAAGTCCGCCGAATAAATAAATATTAAGTACCTAATTGATTGGTTTTGATGTCCGAAGATCAAACCGGTCTCGCTCCAGAAGAGCTAATCATTCTGGATCGGTACCTATCTGACCCCCAGGTTTTTCCTCCACCCCTTCACTGCGTCTGACATACGTAGTAGGCTTATGAACTTTACGTCGGACGATTTGGGTAATAAACAACACCCTCCGTATCTACATGATTGTAGTTAAGCCACCTAAAATTAAGGGGTAGCTAAAAGCTTTTCTCCCAAGTTACTTTACTGAATTTACTTGGTATGAGCATTGCTTTGGACCTGATGTCCCTAAGAAGTCTGTGCCCTGCACGGAGAGGCACCAACCTAAGTTGGTGCCCCTCCGCAGAGGGAAAGTGTGTGTTCGGTCACTCAGCTGCCGATTTGGCAAAAATTAATTTGTTTTCCTCGCCAGCTGAGCACCCGACTGGTCTGGCCACCGAGCCCATGCTTGCCGCACAATAGCCTCGATGCTCAGAAGTTCGCGTGCTGGTTTCCAATTAGACCTGCCTTAAGGGCCTAAGCCAAAAAGTTGGCTGTACGAAGAGAGCATAAGGCTTTCTTTGTACTATTTTCACGTGTTAATGTATGTGTGATAGGAGTCAGTATCACGTAACTATCATGTCCGGATTATGAATATACTATTCATTGTCACTATAATTTACTCGCGAAGTTAGAAGGTATTTTATCGGTTTTTTATCGGTTTTTTAAACTAATACTAAGACTTAAGACTAAATTTTTTTTGGTGAGCAATTCCTGGTGCCTGGAACTCTAAAATGCCAGATTTTTTTTTTCTACTTCTAACCCGCGTTGCTTCTGTGTCTATCTCAGTCTTTACGTTTGTGTTTATGCTACTGGGACATATCCAGCTATTTGTTGTTTAGGCCGTCTATGTGTCGTCCTAATGTTTGCATCATAATCTATTAGCTCTCGCAGCTTTATGTTGGGGTAGTTGCTTATCGCATTGAAGATGTCATATGCTTTTTCATTCATTGTGTAAAGGATTCTTTTCTGCTTTGTGTCCCTGTATATGTATCGTAGAGGTACATATCTCGGTACATTTAGTGCTTCTCTGATTAGCTGGTTTTGTGCTACTTGCAGTTTCTTCCTATTTGATTTGCAGGTGTGTCCCCATGCTGCTGATGCGTATGTTAGCGTTGGAAGGATTATGCTATTTGCTACCCTCATTTTCGTCCAGAAGTTTAATTTGCTTTTCCTGCCTATTAGCGAGGAAGTTGTATTTTTGTTAGTTTCGCTTTATGTACTACTTGGTTTACATGTTCAGTGAATGTGAGCTTGTGATCAAACTCGTAGATATTTAACTTGATTGCTCCATTCTATGTTTTCGTTTGCTAGATTTAGTTCCATATTGGGTATTTGTCTTCGCTTTTTAAACATGACGGCATGCGTTTTCCTCAGGTTAAGTGCTATTTTCCACTTTATACACAATGCATATAGTCGATTGAGAGAACGTTGTAAATCTTTGGTTGCAAAGTTTATATTTCTGTTGCTTGTTGCTAGCGCTGTATCGTCTGCATACAGGCTGAGCAATGTTTTGTAGTCGCTGGGTGTGTCTGCTGTGTATATGGTATACAGATATGAAGACAACACCGCTCCCTGAGGCACACCTGCCTCCAGAGTTCCGACCTCGGACAGGGCAGGCCCTATTCGAACTCTGAATCTCCGGTTTGTCAGGTATGACGCAAGGAGACATGTCATCGCCTTACTGTATCCGTTTTGATTCATTTTGTAGAGTAGGCCTTCGTGCCATACTCTGTCAAACGCTTTACTTACATCTAGAAATGCTGCAGCGGTGCACCTTTTCTCATTGTAACCTTTGGTGATAAATTCCATTAGCCTGAGTACTTGAAGTTCGCAAGAGTGTCTGGATCTGAAACCTAACTGTGCTTCTGGAATTATTCCAATTGCTTCAGACTCTGTTTTGAAGTCTTTTTAGGATTACTCTTTCGGCTATCTTGCTTAGACATGATAGTAGGCTTATTGGTCGATAGTTTTGTGGAAAGCTTCCGTCTTTTCCCGGTTTTCCAATCATCATTACTTCAGCTTCTTTCCACCTGTCTGGAAAGTATCTCAATCGTAGTATTCCATTTATTATGTTTGCAATGTACACTATGATCTTGTTTCGTACATTTTTAATTGCCCTGTTTGTGATTTTATCCGGTCCAGCTGCTTTCTTGGGATTTCGTATTTTGATTAAATCTTTGATTTCTTCCGGACTTGTATGTTCTAGGCCAATTATGCATTTCCTCCTTCTTAAGCGCCTAATGCTTCTTTCTACTTCCTCCGTGAAGTCTAGATCTTCTGCCGGGTAAAAGTTTTGCATGTTGTTGGTTGCGAGTGTTTCTCGCATTACTTCAGCTTTTTCTTGATCGGTATATACCCTACCGTTTATTCCGTGTAGGGGCGGTATGGGTTTTTTATCTTTCCTGATTATTTTTGATACTTTCCAGGATGCGGATTTATTTGGATTTAGTTCTTGGATATATTTGTCCCAGTGTTCGCTTCTATGATCGTTTAACCTTCTTTTGACTTCCCTGTCTAGTTCCTTTGCAATTCTTTTGTCTTCTTGATTTCTTGTTCTTTGTGCTCTTATTCTTTTCCTGTTCTTTTCTTTAATGAGATCTTTTAGCTCATTAGATATTTCTTCAAATCTGCCTTTTTGTATTATTTGATTTTCCGTTTTTGTGCTGGCATCGATGGCATTTAGCATTGTTTGTTCTAGATTTGTTATACTTTCTTCAAGTTCTTCTATGTTGTTGATTGTTGGAATTGCTCCGATATTTTCGCTTACTATTCTTCTGAAATTAGGCCAGTTTGTTTTCTTTATTTGGTGGGGCTGCAGTGGATTTAATTCCACTGCTCCTAGGGTCATGACGATTACATTATGCGTGGAATCGCCTTCATTCACTGAGTGTATATCGTGTTGTTGCCCTATGTTGTGCAGAATTGCTATGTCGATGTGTGAAGGAAGTTCTTCATGGAAGCATGTTGGGTCTGTAGGACCCGTTACTATGATGTTATTTTTGCTTTCGAGATAGGCACTGAGTCGTCTAACGTTTGCATTCGTGCGCCGGTCGTACCAGTTGGGCGATTCAGATCGGCGATAATTATCGTCGGTTCATCGGAATCTAATATTAGATCTAGGTCTTCACTTAGTACCGGTTAATTGGAACTGGGTTAATCAACGTAACAAGATTGTAAATATGTTTTATATGAAGAGTCATTAAATACACATCAATATGTTTAAAAAAAATACCGGGATATTTTATTCTTTTTATAGTGTTTTTGAATTCATTTTAATAATGTTTGTTTTAAAATTTCAGATGGTGTAATTGACTTTAGATGTGGAGGATCTGTTATAAATGACAGATATGTCCTTACAGCAGCTCATTGCGTATCAGATCCCTCGGTGTAAGTATTTATTTTTTATTATATGCTAACTATATTCTCTTTCGACTCGAATCATATCAACTCTTCTTAGTTGTAGCGTGCTAACTTTGTCCAACTATAATTTAAACTTTGGGTTTTGATAATCAGTTAAAATTCATTCTTGCATTAATACAGACCACCTCGTATGCTTTAAATATTAACACATGTATTGTTAAATGTATAAAAGACTTAAAATCTTAACAATTTTAACAAAAAAGTGTGTTTTAAATGTCACCTTTCAAAGAATATTTAATGTGAAATTCATACAGTTTGAAATAGGTAAAGAAATAATCATACTAATCATACAGTTTGGTTTGACACTTCAAACTTGACATTTTGAACTTGTCAGTCTGTTTACGTGGAATGTTTCTATTGAAATGTAGCTATACTGATAATATAAACCAGTTGATTAACACATTAACTGCTAATTTTTTTTATTTTAATGGGATTATTTTTTTATTTTAATAAGTTGTGTATATGTATAAAACGTAATTATATTTAAAATATATTTTGTTGTTAATGTGTTTCTAAAAAAGCCCCCAATGGGGATTGTGACAAATTTCATGAATAAAAACTAATTTATTTTAGTATAGTATAGAATATTTTATACAATTAACACTAATTTATTTGGGTATGCCGTTTTCATACACTCCACATGTAACCCGACTACATTTGTCACATTCCTTGTTTTTACTATATTTGTAACCGTTTGCTTTGCACACTGCGCATTTCGTTTGCGCATCTCGTGGCTCCAAGGACTTGTAATGCTCAGTGTGATAACAGTATCCAGTTTCTGCATATGACATTGTCCATTGTTTGAATCCAAATCGATTTGGCTTTCCTCCAATGAATTAATGAAATAATAATGACTGCAGTACCTAACCATATATATATATATATATATATATATATATATATATATATATATATATATATATATATATATATATATATATATATATATATATATATATATAAAACAAGCGAGTCTTCTACAGCTGGCGCCGATTCTTGTATCCTAATTTCCAGCGTTTTCTGTCGAAGCAATCTTCAGTTATTAGATCTATGGCGGCCATTGCATCGTCGACATCGTCTCTCCAGGATCGTCTTGGTCTACCTCGTTTCCTTCTAGTTGGCGGAGTCCATTCTTTTATTTTTTTTGGCCATCTATTTTCCGGTATTCTCTGAAGGTATCCATACCAGTTTAGTCTTTTGGCTTCGATTGTGTCTATTATATCTAGATTGATTTCCATTTCTCTCCGAATATCTTCGTTTCTCACCCTATCAAGTCTAGTGAGCTGGCAACATCTACTAGCTGGCAGTACCTAATCATTGTCTTATTAATACTCATATTTTTTTAAACAACTTCATTTGAGATATCGTTGGTTCATAAGTTGTATCAGTGGATATATTTTGATATCGAGGTCTGATGTCTTAGTAGGAAGCAGTTCTGAATTATCGGTGAAATAAATATTTTTTTTATTTCTAAATATCTGTTTCTAGAAAAACATTTACTTACAACTTACAATGTCAATTGTTACAACTCTTCACACCGATCCATTGGATCTGTGATAATGAATGATATCCAGTAAGCAAGTCTTCTTCTTAGAGTGCCGTCTCCCTATCGAGGTTGGCAATCATAATGGCTATTTTTATTTTTGAACTTGCTGCTCTAAACAAATCAATCGATCTGCATTGATACTAATCAGGTAGATTCTTCAACCATGAGTTCTGCCTTCGGCCAACAGATCTTCTTCCTTGAATCTTACCCTGTATTATGAGTCTCAAAATTTCATATTTTGGTCCCCTCATTACGTGGCCTAGGTATTCCAGTTTTCTAGTGTGTATAGTGGTGATTAGTTCTGTTTCTTTAACAACCCTCCCCAGTACTTTTTTATTTGTAATTCTATCAGAATATCAGTCCATGATACTTTTAATGAAAATCGTAAAAAAAATAAACAGTCTGTTGACAAAGTAAAATGACTCTTGTTTTGACAGCATATGTAACACTTTTTTAACTTTAACTCTTTTACTATACATATTAGTATTTATTTCTTCATCAAACAGACTTTCAAGAGCTCAGGCGACTTCCCTTTTAGTCACTGCTTTTTTGTAATCGAACATTCTCAATTTTATCATTTCTTCTGAAGAATTTTGCAAAGGCGTGCCTTATATTTTAACAAGTTGAATTTGTTTGTCGACTATTGACATTCGTTGCTTTCATACGTTTCTGTTTTTGTTAAACTATTTCTAGATTATCATTTAATGATGTGCTTGTGGAAGATACAATCAAAATAGCCGAATGAATTTCCAGTCTGCGGGCACATCTCTGGGACAGCTATCTTCTAATATCCTTCTTCCAATGTATTTGATATCCGAAACAACATTAAAATTATCAGGGGGAAGTTTAAAATTAACATTTATAATTAAAAAAGAGTTAAACGTTTCTTGGTATCCATCTTCATACAATAAATTTCGGAAAAACAAAAATACTTGATATCATCCACAATTTCCAAATATGTATAATAAAACTATCAAAAAAATCATTTTTTTAAAAATATAAAAGGCGCAGTAAGTAACACAAAGTTACCATTACCTTTAAATCCATGTTTATGTTTATATGGTATTTATTTATAATACTTCTTCTTCTTCCTCTTTATAAGCAATTCTGCTTGTTCATTGGCGGATTAATACTTGTATGGAAGGTTGTCACTCCATCTTGTGCGTGGTCGTCCGATACTTCTTCTGCCGATTGGTGACTTATCTATTTCTATTTTGACGACATTGGTCTCCTCCATTGTGCCTAATGTGGTTCTTCCATTTTTTTGCGTATTTCGTCCATTCATTTATACACTGTATAACTCAACAGATATAGCTGCAACGTTCAAGGTCGCTTCATTGATAAAAGGAGGAGCCAATAGTTAGTTACATGCAAGCGCCCGAACTGTAGACATCCATATACTTAACATTGAACATAAATTTTAGCGCGTTTGATACGTTGTCAGATAACTTCGTAATTCGTGAAATACTTATTTTTTGTTAAATTTTCGTATTAAAAACTAGAATGTTCTAAGAGAATCTATTTTTATAAGCTTATTTCTACAACTGTTGGAAACAATTTATTTTAACTAAATATCTCAATTCTTAATATGAAACTAATTTAGCTTTTTAATTTAATAGACTCCATTCATTCGGTTCATTTGAATGATTATGACTAATAACTTCAGCAAATAACATTTTATCAATTACCTCAAACATTTTAATTTTGATATTAGTGCTCTGATAATAAATATAATTATAAACTTCTTCTTCTTCATGTGCCTTGTCCGTTCCGAACGTTGGCAATCAACATGGCCATTCTGACTTTGTTTACGGCAGATCTGAATAGTTCAGCAGATGACAATCCGAACCATTGCCGCAAGTTTTGGAGCCACGAGTGTCTTCTCCTCCCTGGACCCCTTCTGCTGTCTACTTTCCCTTGAACGATCAGCTGTAGTACTCTATATTTATTATGTCTCATAACGTGACCCAAGTATTCCAACTTTCTTTTCTTTATACTTATTCCTACCTCTTTCTCTTTACCTATCCGGCATAGTACCTCTTCGTTGGTCACGTGCTCAGTCCAGGATATACGTAATATACGTCGGTAAGCCCACATTTCGAAGCCCTCTACTTTTTTCATTAATAATTATAAACTCATTACAGTAATTATGGAGTATTAATATTACAGTTAGACATATTACAGTTGAATACCTCTAAAATAATATTCGATTAGGCAAAACCGCATCAACCAACGTCTGTCGTGTCTGGTCGTGTCAAATCGTCACCTGTTAAATCTGTTTAGCTGTACGTGTTACATTTTCTTCTAATGTCTTCACGTCTCTTTCGATCTCTCAGAGTATTTCCTGTATTTCTTCTCAGTACTCACATCTCTGTAGTTTCCAGTAGCCTTTGCGTTGTGTCTTTGTCAGGTCTTGCTTCTGAGGCATATGTCATTATTGGTTTTACACTGGCTTTATAAATTCTTAATTTAATCTCAGTGGTAATGTCTCTGTTTTGTCATATAGTGTTATTAATGCATCCTACCAGTCTATTTGCTTTTTGTACTTGACCTCTCACTTCTTTGTCCAGGTCTCCATAGCTAGACAGTGTAATTTCCAGATATTTTGTTTCCATTACTTGTTCAATACTGATGCCATCAATTTCTATTTTACATCTGGTTGGTTCTTTGCTGACTACTATTGTTTTAGTTTTCTGAGATGAGATTGTCATATTAAATTCTTTTGCTCCTATGTTAAATCTGTGGACTAGTCTTTGCAGACTATCTTCATCTTTGTTATCAACATTGCGTCGTCTGCATAACAGAGTAGGTATTTGATTTCTTTGTTTCCCATTCTGTAATACAGGAGGCGACTCCGCTGTCAACACTGAAATACTTTATAGACCCTCAAAGGATGCTAACCCTGCGAGCGGCTGCTAGGTTTACTGGCCCCACTGGTCCGAACTGACTGGTTCGTCTTCGTGGATTTACGAGAAGATAAGGGATTTTCGGGAGAGGGGTAAGGACTCCTAGGTCACAGGTCCTGTAAAGAGCTGAGGTTATGGGCTTACTTTAGAAGCCGGAGATATGTATAAGCAGAATCTTGTACTCTCCTAGTCTCTGTCTGAATCGGCCGAAAGGAACATTAAAACCAAATTAGAGTCTACAATATATTGAATGTACCCTGTAGTTTACAAATACAATCGTTAATAAGTCATTCGGCGCGCCGGGAGACGAGAAGCAAGAGAGTGAAGAATTGACAGTTGTACTATTATAATTACTCAGGTTAGTATATAGAAATCTGTTACCTTATGTGTAGTTAGACTTATAACAACGACACGTGTTCGGTCCTCTGGAGTTCGGTCAGTTGAGGGGACTCCTCCGTTGTTACGAACTTCACCACTAACCTGATTATACGAGATACTATGTCGCGTGTTAACTACTCCCCGCAGACATACCGACTGCCTGGTTACCGTCGTTTTTTCTTGTTGTATTGTGCTCGTACTTTCAACGCCGGTTCTAGTACCAAGGTCGTGTTTTCGCTGAATTGTGGGTCCTATATTGCATTACAGTAACAGTTTCTGTTTGACGTGCTTTTTCTACGTTAAACAATTAACAAACAATGCACTAACTAGGTCAATTTCTTTGTGTAACCTAAATGTATACTTTACTGTATTAATTCTCCCTTATTAAATTTGGAATATATAATAATTATCTCGAATAATTATTATCTTTTCTATGCTACTTAGCCCTTTATTCCAACTCCCCACTCACTTACTACGCTCACATTACAATTCTGTATCCTCTTCCTTTGTTAATGGTTTTAATGATTTCATCCATGATCAAATTGAAGATCATGAGGCTCAATGAATCCCTTTGTCTTATTTCGCTGCCTATTTCTATAGGTTCTGTAAGTTATCCATCTATTTTGACTTCCATTTTGTTGTTCTGGTAGACGTTTTCGATAGGTTTTATAATATTTAGGAAACATTTTCTCTTATGCAGAAGATGGATTACATCTTTGAGTTTTACTCTGTCAAACGCTTTTTTTAGATCAATCAGACACAGAAATGCTGGTCTATTATACACTACTAATTTCTCAGTAATTTGCTTATTAACAAATATTGCATCTGTAAGTACACGATCTACCACTACGAAAACCCTGTTGTTCATCTACTAAACTTATCCTGTGATTTATTAGCACTTGTAAAATTTTAGTTGTAAGTTTTAGCGTAGTATTTAACAAGTTTATACCTCCGTAGTTTTCTGGTTGTTTTTTTTCCCTTTTTGAATAGTATAATTAGTTTGCTCGTTTTCCATTCTTCCGGTATTTTATTGTGTTTTATAATTTTATTAATTAATGTTGTTAATTGTTCTGTCATTGCTGCTCCACAATATTTCAGTAACTCGTTTGGTATTATTTATAATACAAAAAACCAATCTAAAAATATCATACTTTAAAAATAGTAATTTGACAGTGTTCAACACAGGTTACAGTGTAGAGGGTCGGTCGATTATCCGCACGTCGATCATCTGAACAACAGCTTATCCAATAAGTAGCTTTATATCCCAGCTTGATTCTTCTGACGGATCCACTAGTCGAAAAACGATGGAACTTGCCTCAAACATGGATTTACATGATGCTGTGTATATGTGGTTTACTCAAAATAGATCCCAGGGAGAACCTATTTTTACATGCTGGATAAAACGATTTATGTCGAGACATGGTATTCGTGAGATTCAAATACAAGGACAAAATCTGTGTTGATTCTTCAACTGCAGAGTAATTCAACTGGGCTCAATTAGAAAGCTTTGCCATGAATGCAAACTCTTGCGTCACGTCGCGAATTAGCAGCACCTGGACCTAAAATAAGCAAGGATCGTATAACTTAGCTTGTGCTAATGCGCTGATTATTGGTTATTATTGATTATTATTATGCTCTAATGCTATTGGCAGCCACTGATTGCCAATACTTGTCATTGGTAAATACAAGAAACCATGTTGTTTTAAAAACATTAATATGTCTGAGATACCTATCGTTTACACTTCACAAAAGAGTGTTCAGATGGATAGTAGAATTGCCATGGAATGATTTATAGAAACTTTCATATCCTCTGTTAAAGCTCATGAATAAAAACTTTTTGATAACGCCCCATCGATGTTAGAATAAAAAAGATCTGTCATTACAAAACTACGTGACCTAGTTTCTCATAAAAGGTTAGACTTGCTTCCGCAGACCCGAACTGAAGATTTTTTAGCATTAGTAATTCATTATCATCATCAACTAGCCTCTAACGTCTACTGCTGAACATAGGCCTCTTGCATACTTTTCCACTTAGTGCGATTTTGCGCCATCTGAATCCAATTTGTAGTCACTTTTTTTATGTCATCTGTCTATCTCGTTGGCGGTCGACCTCTATTTCTGTTAGCTTGTATTCGGGGTCTCCATTCCAAAATTCTTTTTGTCCACCGGTCATCAACTGATCTTGCTACATGACCTGCCCAGTTCCACTTTAGTGTTATTATCCTTTCAATAACGTCTGATACTCCTGACCTTTGGCGTATAGTAGCATTGGGTATTCTATCACGTAGAGAAATCCCTAACGTTATTCTCTCCATTGCCCTTTCCGCAACTTGTAGTTTACTCACTGTTGTTCTTGTGAGTGTTAGGGTTTCTACGCCGTAAGTCATCACTGGCAAAATACACTGATTAAATACTTTTATTTTCAGACACATTGGAATCTTAGACCTAAAAATACCCTTCATCATGTTTTTATTGTGGACTAAATTTGTCATAAATTGTGCTCTTTTGGTAATTATTGATGCTCTTTTAGTAATTAGCGCTTAAAAAATTCTACCTAATTTCTATTTGTCATTAAAGATATAATGTAAAGTAAAGTAAGTAATATGTAGGTATGGCAACAAGGCTTTTATTCACCCATGGATAAATATGTGTGACTAAATAAATACAGTTAGATTATCCAAAATACTCGATTTTAAGAACACCAAGTCTTTCAATTAGGTCGGATAATCGACTATCTACTGTATTTACAAATTTAATCATTGGTTGACAAGAAACAAGATGAAAAACCGACGGCGTTTGCTTTAAAGAAAAATTATTAAGGCTGTTTTATCGGTGCATCAAAACCTAGGGACAGTGTTTTCTTTGTTATTTACCGACAAAATGTCTCGAAATTTGGACACGTTATTCGGAATTATGTTGCCTTTAAAATGATGGTTTTACTTTTTTTTATTTTTATAAAACTTCTGTTGAAAAATTGGATTATGCTGTTTAACATTCTATTATAACCAAACTTTTTACGCCCATCACTTGAAAGAGTTTTTTTTTTCTGTAATCGTTGCTTTTTTTTTTCACCTTTTTGTGTCCAGTAATAATCGAGAAGAGCGTGTTCCAACTTTGAAGAAAATTGCTAAAAAATACTAAAATCTGATAGTGAAACGTGTAACTTATCATTGGTGCTTAGTTTCATCGTTATCACCTTCGTGGCGTCAAATCTCATGAACGTACGGTCAGTTAGTTCGTTTTAAAACTAATTTGAATGGAGAATAATGCATTTGTTGTCATTAAACTAACAGTCGGCCGGCGCCACTGAGTAAAAATAGTCTGGCGTAAGCAGTGTAGAAAAGTAAGTGATACGCCCATTTCAAATCGCAGTGTGGTTTACCTGCTAAAACAGCCATAATATAGAGAAAACTGACGCAAAGCAGTCGCTGCATATCTTTTCCATTTGCCAGGCTTATCGACCACATGATCTAAATGACCAATGAGAAGGTCACGTGGTCGATAAACCCGGCCCATTAGACAGAGATGCAGGGACTGCTTAGCGTCAGTTTTCTCTGTCACACTGGGGACTCGCGAGAGCATTGCTGCAGTCAGTCTATCTTGTATTAAATGTCTATGATTACTGATATGATAAGATAACCTTAAACTGCCAAATGCACGATTGATACTTTACGCGCCAAATGGTGTACGTTAAAAGTCAATATCCCGAAATAGGGTAAACGGCAGTTAATGGGTTAAACATTTTAAAGATATATTTACAGCTTTATTTAATTGAATGCTTTTTATTTATCAAGCTACATTTAAAATTTTTATTTTTAGAATTGGTGTGCGATTGGGAGAGTACAACGTACAAACTCAGATAGACTGCAATCCAACCACGGGTTACTGCGCACCTCCTACTCAAGATTTTCAGATCGAGAAAATAATTATTCATCCAAATTATAACTCCAAAACGTTTTCTGATGATATTGCCTTAATTAAACTTAAAGGACCTGCCAATTTCGATCGTGGTAAGATTGTAAAATAGAATTTGATTTATCTTGATATTAGACTCCTCTATTATTTCATGACAATCGAAAGCTCGTTCCTTGGTAACAGCACGAAGCCGAAGGCTGAGTTGCTGTTACCAAGCAACGAGCTTGAGAAATTTGTCATGAAATTATGAGGCATTCATCAATGTCCGAGGGATATTCGGCGGATAATTTTTCGAAAAAAAAAATCATAACGAAACATTTATTTATTAAAAGTACAGTTAGTGAAAGTACAATTATTAAAATTTAAGTTAACATTAGATTCGTTGCTGTTCTCTACTATAGAAGATCTATTACCACGCATAATATTTATAATCTTGTTGTGGTGTTCTTGATCGAGATTCAAGTATGATTTTATAGAATTCTGATTGCCATGACCAGTAATTTTTAGCAATTGTTGTTCTTCTACACCACTTTTTGCTAATTCTAACAGCAGTTGATCTATTCGAGTGATATGTTATCTATGTCATTCTATGTTCATTCAACTCATATTCTCGTCTGCAGCAAAATTCCATGAATATTCCTCAAATATATTTGTGATTGTAGGTTGTATTTCTGGGAATTTTTTCTTTGATTAGCGCATTTATACTTTGAACATTCTCATTCCCGAAACGTGACATTTTGAAATTTATTTGGATGAAGTTGTCAAACTCGATCGTGTTGTCATAGGGATTGAAAATTGCACTGAATGCAATTATCAGTCTAATGTTGACATGATTGGGTGAAATTGTTCCACATGACACAAAATGACGAAATTTGAATGGTTGTTAGAACAGTCGAAAAATTATCAGTAGTTAATATCCCTAGGACATTGATAACAGATGAGATAATTTCATGACAATCGAAAGCTCGTTCCTTGGTAACAGCACGAAGCCGAAGGCTGAGTGACATTTTAAAGGCAACATAAAATGACGAAATTTGAATGGTTGTTAGAACAGTCGAAAAATTATCAGTATAATAGATTATAATAATATAGTCCATGTAGAAAGTATTACGAATGTTTAATTTTTCTTATTTTTGTAACGAATAATGCTCGAATTAAGTTGTGCCTGATAGTAGTCAGTAGTACAGTCAAAGTTGTGCCGATAGTACAGCCAAAATGGTACGAAAATAGCCAAGAATTAATTATTGAAAATAGGCCAATAAGCCGAGATGATCAAGAAATCCTAATAAACAACAAGATATTGGAAAATGTGAACGAACTCAATTATTTAAGCCAAGAAGTAATAAGAAAAAAAATATATCGAAAAGGACAGGAAAGTGGGATCGGGATGGGCTGCATTTAATAAAATGAAGTACATCAATCATCAAAAAAGAAAATTGGTAAAGAAAATGGTAGGAGTTTCTCTAATAGGTAGAATTAGAAATAAACAACTCGGAGAAAGAACCACATAATTGGTGTAATAGAAAGAATCAATCAATCATTAAGTTTATAACATTCTAAGCCATCTTCTGATTTCCAGTCTCTATTTATCTTGGTCATCTAGGTCGTTCCAAAGGTTTTCTTCAACTTCCCTCTCTTTTAAGTCCTTATCCATTTCTTCTCTTCAACCTAATCTCGGTCTACCTTGCTTTCTTCTTCCATGCGGGGTTCAATTCAATACTTTCTTTGGTATTCTGTATTCATTCATTCTTTGGACAAGTCCATACCATCTTAGTTGATATATTCTGATGGCCAGCTGTGTTTAACACCCATAATTTCTCATATTCTTTCGTTTCTTTTCCAGCCGCTCTTTTCCAGAAGTCCATTTCTGTTTTTCTAATGTTTTAAGCTTTTTCCTTTTAGTGGCCATACCTCACTTCCATATGTAAATGGTTTTAATAATGCTGTTATAGATTTTGTGTTTGTTTTCTTTGGAGATTCTTTTGCCCCACAATACACTGTTTAATTACATAATGTCTTGTCTTCTCTGATTATTTTTATGTTTAATTTCTTCCAAGTATACATCTTTTAATTTCCCCAATACACATGCATTCAGTTTTCTTGATATTTACTTCTATCCCCCATAATTCGTATTCTTCGATAAGTTTATGGGTAATATATTCGAGGTCTTCATATTCTTGGGCCATCACTATCTGGTCGTCTGCAAAACTCAATGTGTATATTGCGTCGTTCGGAGGAATTTCCATCTTTCTGCATTTTCTTTCCATGTCTTCATCGCTTGCTCCTAGTAGATCTTATACAAAGTAATAGACACGCAGCATCCTTGTTTGAGTCCTTTGCTGATAGTCAGATTTCAGAAAGGGTGAAACCCTTGGATACCTCCTGACCTTTCTTTATTTTACTTGTGTTGTTTTTGTAGAAATATTTGTTTTCTCGGGAGCTTTCCAGAGTTTTTATTGTGGCACACTATCATAAGCTTTTTTAAGGTCCACGTAGAGGAGATATATTGGTTGATTTCATGCTACGTTTTTTTTATTAGATGGGTAACATTTAACAGATGGTCTATAGTTGATCTACCTGCTCTAAAGCCGTTTTTCGGCCTCCATATCACAAAATTCATCTTCCATTCTCTTTTTGATGAGTTTCCCGTAAAATCTCGAGATGGAGATAAGGACTGCGATTCCTCGATAATTGTCACATACATCTTTACTTCCCTTCTTATGTATTGTCGTGATAAACGATGTCATCCAGTCCTCCGGTATACTCTCCGTTAATACATTTTTGGCAAAGGCTGTAGTAGTAGCAGTAGATTTGCGTCCCATTTTTTTTTGCATCCCAGAAGTTTTCGTCCCATTTATCTAGGCTTATCGGTGAGATGATGTCTTTAGTCTTATATTGTCAAAGAGATCGAAGTATTTTCCAACTTTCGGTGCTTCTGCTACCCCCCAAGTGAATGTTTATTCTAAAGCAGTTTCTTTCCCAGCTTTCGTTTTTCTTGTTAGTTATCGCACTTTGTAAATACGTTTCTTTGGGCTGTTTTCGTATATTCGTTTTTTACTTTGATCAGTATTTATATTCAAGTGTTTGTGGTATTTATCTCGTTTAATCTTTATTTTTTCTTCGATGTGTTCATCCCACCAATATGGCTTCCTTCGTTCGGTTTTTTCATATTTACCCATGAACAGAAATAATCTCAAGCTAAAATGAGATTATGCAAGATACACTAAAAGAATAAAATATGGAATGAAAAAATTATAAAATAGAGATCTTGGGATGGAAAAAGAAGAAGAGAAAGACCCATAATGAGATGGAACGATGATCTAAGAAAGGTACCAGGCATTAACTGTCTGAGAAGAGCAAACAAGATACAGGCATGGAAACAGTTAAGAATGAAATAGAGAAATAGAGTCAGAATGGGATTTAAAATATTGCCTTATTTATGGAAAGTGTGCTTTGGTCTATTAGATAATTGTTGTTTGAAAACGTCATGTCTTGGAGATTTATTTTTTCTGTGACAGTTTAGTGAATTGTTGCATATTTTAAATACTTCATTATTTTTCAATTGAAATGCCACTTACATTTGAACAAATACAGGGCATGATAAGTGATTTATGAATAAGTACCAAAAAATTTAGCAGTCGCTTAGTAACCAGAGCTTATCCGTTCATTATGTTGTCAAAAGGCAACCAAATTAAAAACCTTTTGCAAATTTATTTCGTCGTTTACGTGAAATCGAGTTGGTTCGCACTAAAAATCAAGGTGATTGACCATAACGAATTAAACTTATTCAAGATGAGATTTTGATTCATTTAGATGAATGACATAAAAAAAGTTTACTAGAATTATCAGTACAAACAGAAATAAGAAGCCAGTTTTTTATTATTAAAATTCTTAAAAAAACTCTCGCTCCTATCACTTCACCCCTATTAAAATTCTGCTTCCAAGAAAACTTCAGCGATGGATATACTTGTTTTAACGAATTTTGAGCAAGCATAAAGCTAGTAGATATTTTATTACACTATAATAAAAAGTATTAAAAGAATGGAAAATAAGCGGAACTCATTCTGATGTTTAAAATAGATGACAAAAAGGAACCGGAAAACTATAAAGAAATCTGAAATAAACGACAAACATTTTAATCAAATTAATAATCAAGAGAATAATCACTTGGAAATGAACAACAAGGCTTCTGAATTGGAAGATCATGTACAGACGTAATATTTGTTATAATCTTCTTCTTCAGATGCAAATCCACTAATGGATGTTAGCGATCACATTTTCCATTAACTCTCTATTTCTTGCAATATGTATCAGAGATTGTATGTCGTTAATCCCTGTCCATTGCCTTATGTTTCGGAGCCAGGACATTTTCTTGCGTCCCATTCCTCTCTTGCCTTCAATTTTACCCTCGATTATAAGTTGGAGGAACTGGTATTTTTCATTTCGCATGATGTGACCTAGATACGCCGTTTTCCTTTTCTTGATGGTTTCGAAAAGTTGGCGTTCTTGGTTTATTCTTTTAAGGACATCTATGTTTGTGATTTTCGCTGTCCATGGTATTTTTAGGATACGGCGATAAAGCCACATTTCGAAAGACACATTGTTATAATACAAATCACGAAAAATGAATACAATGGACTGGCGTTCCTTTGTTTGATTGACTTATTTACCTGTTATAGAATAGACAAATACCATTTTACGCCATTAAAAAAAATCGAAAATATATACAAGGCAACAAAATACAGGCCAGAATATATGGACAACTGACAAAGTAAAGAGACATAAGAACAGGTATAAGGCAGGAAGACTACTCAAGTACTATTTAATCTCATAATGGATGATATATTGAAAACCGTAAAGAGAAGTAAAGTAATACAATAGCAAAGAAGCTAAATATGGTAATTTCAACCCAGAAAAAAAATTAGCCATCAGTAATAAACCGAGCAGATGTAAAATAGAAATTGACGTAACCAACATTAAGCTTATTATGGAAATCAACTATTTCGGCATCGCACTATCCAGTTAAGATTATGTAGAAGCTAGAGCTAGAGATAAAAACAAATACAGAAAGCTAATAGAGCAACTAGATGGCTAAACATTGGAGGATATGAAGAAATAAATACATTAGCATGGAAATTGAGACAAGAATTTAAAAAGCGACTATAAGACCAATAATGACATACACAGCAGAAACGAGCTCTGATACAACCAAAAAACAAAAGATGCTGCAAAAGAAAAAAATTGACGAAATCACAACGGCCTGCAAGATGGAAACTATTAGTCGAGTGTATTCTGAATAGGAAGAGAAAATGGAACAATCATATTTTTTCTGTTTATTTACACAATCACAATGATGGAACAATCATAAATAGCCAAATTATAATCGTAATCGTAAACGATTAACGTACCCTGTAAATAATAAAATATAGACACTCACACTTGAAACTGACTGCTTTTACAACATTATTACTCCGTGGCGATTGCTAAAATACTATACTATTTTACAAAAAGCATAGATAACATTTTTTCATTCATTTTGTCTTTTAATTTTTAGATAACGTAAAACCAATCTGTTTGCCTGTAGAGTCAACTCTTACCAGTAGATCTGCGATTGTAGCCGGATGGGGAGTTACAGAAGATGGTAAGTATTCTCTCAACATTATTAGGTGTATTCAGACGACCTCAGAGGCTGCACAGCGGTAGCGTTCAGACACCCCTCGTAAGCCACTGAAAGTCAGCAGCTGTTAAAGGGTATTTTAAATCCAGTGGCAAGCACTTCCATGGAATAATAATTTATCGCGCAATCAATAGAATTTCTATGATCAGAACCATGCAGTGGCGTTGCAATATTAAACAATTTGAGATTATTTTATATTTGAAACTGCACTAATGACAAAATTATTACTGATTTAAATAATAAATGGAGTTTGATTATACACTTGATTGTTTTATAGAGACCAAACTTTTTAGTCAAATCAACAACTTAGTAAAAATGTTCAGTACTGACAGTATTAAAACGCAGAATAAGAAACAATCAGAATACCTACTCTCAGATGCCGCCTTTGAAGTTTGTCAGCACGCGGACAACATGTTTTAGACGGAAACATATATTCGAATTGAGAAATTTAATCTATTCTTCATCTAAAAGTACGAATAAAATAGTGTGTATTATGTCTGTAATTGCCGTAAATAAATTAAACCGGGTTAATTTGTCTATGCACATCAGATAAAATGTCACTGGACAGCACTGGTTCCGTTTAAAACATGGCTGATTTCGTCTGCCTAAACGAGATGTGCGTACTTATTTGTTTAAGGGGAGTGGGCATTCTGATTGTTTCTATTTCTGTGGTTAAAATATGAATATTTTTGATTGTTTTTTCAAAATTATCTACGGCACGTATGCTTAAAATTTAGCTTCTTTATTTGACACTCTATGATGTTTGGTAAAAGTTGCCAAATTTTTAATTTAGTATCGGTTACCTTAACGCCGTAATTATAAAGTTATTATTAATGACTCCTTAACGACTCATACAAGGATGTGATAAGAATTAAACAATTAAAAAGGGCTAATCCCCAGGAGTTGGCTATACCATATAGTTATACCATATAGTTAAAAAACTCAAACTTCGAGGTAAAACATTTCGGTTCAAATTGGGATACTTAATTAAAAATTAAATTTAAAAATCCAAAAGGAACAAGTTCAAAACGTTCTGGAATTAATCAGTCCATCTTCAGTGAGCTTAAAAGCAAGTAATTAATAAAAACGTACAGTAAAATTTTGACTAATACATGTAAAACATGTGGTTAATTGTTAAACTGTTTATTCGGGCTGTTAGGCCGTTGTCTTCTGAGATTAGTTCTCGACGTTTCGCCAACACTAGGGGTTGGCATCTTCTGTCTTCTGGAGATGTTACTGCTTCGCTTATAAGCTGAAACTGACGCCGTTTTTGACAAATCTGCCGTTGCCGAACACGGTTTGGGAAGCGGAGAACATTGGATACTGTTTGAAGAAACGCAAATGCTGGATAAAACATCACAGTACTACCCACGGTTGTATCGGGAAGCGGTGGCAATATATAAGCACCCAAATAATTTTAATCGGATAAAAGACGGACTAAAAATCAACAAAACGTGGATACCAATATTAAAATCCACAAACACTCTTCCCGCAAAACATGAAGAAAGAAAAGCTACTACAAACGACGACACGCCCCCTCAAGCCGGAATCAGTGGAGGGGAGGCGAGTAGAAAATATAAATATGGCCTCCGTTAGTACAACGCGGCGTCAGTTTTAGCTTACAAGGGAAGCAGTAACATCTCCTGAAGATGCCAACCCCTAGTGTTAGCGAAACGTCGAGAACTAAACTCAGAAGACAAGCCTAACAGCGCGAATAAACAGTTTAACAAGTTAGACGATAGCCGTGAAAGCCTAACGCATTTTATCATATGCTTAATTACTTACTTTGTAGTACTTGCAAAATAACCACAAAACCAAACAGTGGTTGGATTTAAATGGATTAAACCATACCAATTATCTGGCAATATGCCGATGGACTGCTTTTAGGGAACATAAGTCCCTTCTAGAAAAAGTTTTTTACATCCGAACTCTGGGAAAGTTAAATGCCAACTAATTTGATATGTCAGATGTAATAATTGACTGTTTACAGTGACATTCGGAAAAGTAAACCAGGTCAAGGTCCCATATGTTGAACTCTATATAAATTTTAATTAAATAAGTTTATTAAAATTGAGAGAGTAGCTATTATTTTTATTATTATTTAAATATATTTGTTTATATTTTATTAATTGACTATAAAATTAAATTTGATCAGTAAAATTAGAATCTGATTTTTTTAGACAGAAATGTGTAAGGGGAATATTTTGCATTGTAATTGTTGTAAAATGAAGATTATTTGAATTTGATTCAAAAAGTGAGGGTCTTCAGAAAACCTGATAAACTGCTGATTCACCTGCTTTCAACATTTTTGCACTTATCTCTTTTATTCCCTGGCTTTTATTGTTCTTTCAGTCTAAAATTCTGAAGTCTTAACTTGTCTCTATATTTGCTTTTTTGTTGAACTGTTAGAATTACTTTCACATTCTCATGTTGTTTGTTCGGCATATTTTCACTTCTGATAAGAGAATTTTTCATTCTGACATTATATTATTTTATACGACTTACTTCGTAGTATTGCTTCGCTTAATCTAATGTAAATACACTTGTTCTGATAACCCTTTTTTGTATTCCTTATCTACCATCTTTGCCCATTTTCAATTAGTTTCTTCATGCATACTGTTTGTTCCTATTGACTTATACATGAGTTCTTTTCCTATTTTTGTATTACATTGCTCAGAATTATCTTGATGTCATATTTTGGCAATGGAAATAGAAGAAAATAATTGTAGAAAACTCACCATAATTCGCAAAAAAAATAGCAAAGAAGTGATAGAACAAAATATATCATTAATTGATACATGTTTACTTGATATTAATTATCTAAATTATCTTTCCTTAGTTTGATTAAAAAATTTTATTTTTAGGTTATAAAAGTCAAGTATTGCTTCAGGTGCGCATACCAGTGTTACCTCTTCAGGAATGTCAAAAGATATACGACAACTTTGCTAAAATAACATCAAATCAAATTTGCGCTGGAGGATCTAATGGGCGAGATTCATGTGGTGGAGACAGTGGAGGGCCTCTTAAAGAAATTGGAGAAGTAAATGGAAAAATGAAATTTATTCAACACGGTATTGTATCATTCGGACCAAGAAACTGTGGGACAGAAGGAAGACCTGGTATATACACAAAAGTATCTAGTTATATGAAGTGGATATTGGATAATCTGGAAGAGTATTAAATATATATCAAGATAATTATTGATATAAAAATTGTAAATATTAGTTAGGTGCGTTGTAAAATATTGGTGGTGAGCTTATTATCTGTAAGGTAGTAAAATGTCTAATTATGAATCCAGTGATTTGTTAATATGGAGTATCTCTATGTTATTAAATAAATGTATAATATATGTAGGCAATTTAGTTCTATTTATTTGAACATTAAACCAACCAGAACCAAATTGAGATATGTAAACCTGTGGGAGAACAGAGGGCATAGTAAAGGTAAAGAATATACTTAAGACACAAATGTCAGCAAAATAAATCAAAAACTTGTATGAGAACATTGTAAAAACAATCGTTATAAAGTTAGCGAAATGAATTTTTATTAATATTTTTTTTATCTCTACCATAGCTAAATTAATTTCCAAACTTGAAGACAATCTCTCCATTCGAAATTTGCGAATTTTCCCTTTTCGAGTTATAAGAAAATATAAAATTGAATTTCAGCTGTAAAATGAATAAATAACTAGAACACTTTTAATTAGTCCTCGTTTGCAGATTATGGATAATCTACTTTAATTAAAAATAATGAAAATTAAAATTTTTTTCCCTTGATATGTTTTGTAAACACTTCTCCTTACGATGCCTTCTCCATTACTGAAGGTTGGCTGTAACTACAGCAAATTGCTCTCTATCTTGAGCTGTTCTTAGTATCAAATGTGTGTCCATACCTATCCAGTCTCTTATATTCTTCAACCAGGAGCATTTTCTTCTTCCTGTACCTCTTCTTCCTTCCACTTTCCCTTCCATTATACGTCGTAGGAAGTTGTATTTTTCTCCTCTGTAAATATCTCCTAGATAACTCGTTTTTCTGTTTTTTACAATATTTAGGAGTTCTCTCTCAGTACTCATTCTTCTTAGCACCTCGTTGTTGGTCACGTGCTCTGTCCAAGAGATCTTCAGCATCCTTCGATGCCCACCCACATCTAAAAGGCTTCTATACGCCTCATACTTGTAATTCCGAGAGTCCATGTTTCCACTTCGTATAGCAATATGGAATAAATAAACATTTTTACAAATTAGTATCGAATATCCAACGATAACGTAGAGTTTAATAGGAATTTTTTCATTCGTTGAAATGCGGACCTAGTATTATTCTATACGAGCACGTATTTCGACCTCGTGGTCAAGATCGTTTGTTATCCAGCAACCAAGATACTGGAATCTTTGTACTGGTTCTATATGTTTGTTATAGATACAAATATTAATGTCGACATTTGGTGCACGTGTAACAGCCATTGCTTTTGTTTTATTTGTGTTTATATTTAGTCCCAAGCTATCTTCCTCTCTGGTTATGGCATTCAAAAGTCGTTGTAAACCCTCAGAACTGTCCACAATAATAACGGTGTCGTCTGCGTATCTTAAGTTGTTTACGTATTCTCCGTTTATTTTTATTTCTTCTTTAATATTTTCGAGGGCATTTTGAAAGATCTTTTCGGAATATATATATATATATATTAAATAACAGCGGAGAAAGTACACAGCCCTGACGAACTCCTCTTTTTATTGGCAATTCTGCTGTCAGACGATTGTATATTTTGATCGACGCCATTTGATCCCAATATATTGTAAACACTTGTAAACTTGTTGATTTTAAACACTTATAAATTATTGAAATAAAACGAAAAGTACTTTTAAAAGTGTTTAAGCATTTAATTGCTAGCTGAGAATTGTTTATTTTAATATTTTTTGCAAAATACATACTGATATATTTTGTACACTTATGATAAATGAATTAATTGATAAGAAAAGTTTTTTCAAAGTGTGTAAAGCTTTAATTCCAAGAGTGAGTATAGACGAAAGCGTTTAGCTAGAAATTAAATACTTTACATACTTTTAAAGTACTTTTCTTTTCAATTCATTAATTTAATATTTTTGGGTTTTTTTTTCTAAACATAACTGATATTTAATATCTTATCTATTATCTAAAATTAAGTGATTTTATAGGGAAAGTAACAATAGAAAAGTGGTACATAGTATAGGGGGGCAAATTATCTTTAACGTTTATTTATTTCTGGAACGAGAAGAAGATTTGGGATATTACACAACTCCTTTATCTCTAATAGAGCGAGTTATTCAAGCAACTGGTGCCTCAGAAAGTATGGTAAAGAGGGTAATTAATAAAGGTAAAAACAAACCATCAACTTGTGGTAAAAATGGATTTGTTGAAAACAAATATGAAATGCTTTATACCATATGCTGACAACGCTTTATACCATAATGTGACTGTTAAAAAATATCCTTTTGTGTCGTATTGCCAGATTCCAGTAAGAGCCTAAGAAGTGATCCATTGAATTCTGACAGGCAACGGTGGAGAAAATCATTTTTGGACATCTACGTCACGGAACAAGACACCCTGGCATCTTTCAACTGAGTAGGATACTAAGACAGAAGACCCCAGGATAGTGCCGGATTAACCGTGATCCGACTAAAACCTTAACCACCGTCTCAGAGAGGTAGTCTTGCCACTCAATAACCAACTAAAATAAAAAACTAAAAATTTATAACCATACCTATTACCGTAAATCAGAAAATGTTTAGATGTTAGACCATAAACTAATAAATAATATTAACTATAATTTTTTAGATCATTGGCTTAATTTCCTCCTCTGTCCTCCTGCTCTTTTTCTTTATCACCCCAGAAATCAGACAGTGTACTTCTTCCCATTCTTTCTCTCCTCTCAACATTATGTTTACAATGTTTCTTTCATCCAGCCCGAAATCCATTCGCCTCTCGAAATCTCTCATCTTATTTGCCCATCTCTGACAGTTAAAATGTGGGCGGGAACGTCCGGAACCCCACAAACAGTACAGTCTGCCGAGGCAGATTTGCCTATTATATTTGTGAAGGTATCAAAACTGCCATGTTCGGTCAGAAACTGCTTCAGAAAGTAGTCTAGTTTCCCGAACTTACATTTCCACCACGGTCTCAGATCGGGAATAAGCTCCTTCGTCCACATTGCCATTCCACTATCATTCGCCCATTCTCTCTGCCACTCTACTATTCTTTCTCTGTCATTCTCATGTATATTTACATCCATCCTCCTCGCATACATCCTCGCTCGCTCTTTACACAACAAAACGATCGGTATCACCGCTCCAATGACATATAGAGCCTCATTGGAGACTGTCCTATATACACTAGACACCCTGAGGAGCATTCGCCTTTGCGAAGTCTCCATCAGCTTAACGTATTTCGCAGTGTTTAGTACACTACACAACACAGGGACAGCGTAGGTTACTACCGACTGGAAAACTTCATTTAGCTGCTTTCTTTTGGTGCTTCCTGGACCTACAATGTTTGGCATCAACCGTATCAACGCTTCCAAATTTCGGTTCGCCTTATCTATTGTCTTTTTGATGTGTACTCCGAACCTTAGACCTTCCGACAACCAGACTCCTAGATATTTAATTGATTAAACCGGTGCAAACTCCACACCTTCCACTATAAAGCGAAGAGAGGATTTTTCCCGGGTCCCTTTGAGAACTAACACCTCAGTTTTCTGAGACGCTAGCTGTAGATCGTTCTCTCTGCTCCACCTACTAATGCGATGCAGGGCTGTATTAGGAGTGACCGCATCTATGGTGGACCTTTTGGCCCTAAAACCATATTGGCGATCGCTCAGCGCATGCTTTTCTTCTAGCTTTCTCTCAAGGCGGCCTTTTATAAGCTGTTCGTACAATTTAGCTATCGAACTAAGAAGGCAAATCGGCCGAAATCGTACCTCTTCCACTTGACCTTTACCTTTCGGTATAAGGACAACCTTAGCTTCTTTCAACATTGTTGGAAACTGCTGTTGTTCAAGCAGTTTGTTTAGCAATCTCAGGAAAACCTGCGGGTATTTTAGTGCGGCGAGTCTTACTGTCTCCGGCATAACTCCATCTATGCCAGGTGCTTTTCGGATCTTCATCCGTCCAACAGCCTCGCCGAGTTCCAACTCAGTGAAAGGTTCCGCTTAAACGAAACCAATAATCCGGAAGTTAACCCGATTGAAAAAATATGGACAGTTTTAAAAAATCAAGTGGCGGTAAAAAGTGAAGAGGTAGAAGAAATCAGGCTAAACGAAATCACCCCAAAGGTATGGGCAAATATTTGTATGGGCAGGCATGTTGAAAAATTGAAGAAGAGTTTTAGTCAAGAATTCATTACGGATGAAGCCCATGACGAAAACGATCAATTTAGAGGAAAATTACAAGAGACCTTTTTTGATCAGAATTATTCAGTAAGAAATTGTCCGGGTCGAAAAATTTATTTACAAAATTTGTTTAAAAAAATCGTTTAAATAAATTAGGATATTTTTCGATTAGGCTACCTCTTCGCTTTGACTAAACAAAATCAAAATCATATTCTTTTTCTATCGTACGTTGATTTATTATTTATTTATTTTCCCTCTAAGATTTTTTTTGTTCTTAACCCTCCGTTAGGCACGTGGTCTACCAATCGTGTACCACCTATTTTCAAACACTTGTATAAACACTTATATATCTCTGTCATTTTCTCTTACATCCACATGCATCTCAGCAGCTGTTGCCACCCTGTTGCTAACAGACGTCTTATTCTAATTTATTGTTTAAACATGTGTAGTTAAGCAATTAATTCCAAAGCTATTGAGAGTATGCAGTCCAGTAATTAGACCGAAGGTACTTTATCGTTTAACTAAAACACACCACAAAGTCCGAATTGAATTCCCGAAACACTTTTTTGTTTCTTCTTTTTTGTAAACGATTTGACCTATTCACTGTCTGATATTTCACTTGCAGAATCGTCACTATCTGAATTGTCTATCCGAATAATTAGAGGCGGAACCTCATCTATAACTAGCTTGGTTTGAAAAGAGTGAACGATTATGTCTTCCGTATGTCTAATACAATTTTGCCATTGTTCTGCTTTTATTTGTTTTAGCGATTCTTTCCATAAACCAAGAACGCTAGCGTCATCTTTTATTTTGGATGCATGTTTTTCATAAAAATTTTTGGCTATATCCCAAACTAACTCAATTGCATTATATTGGAAATGGTAGGGCGGAAGTCTAAGAACTTTATGGCCATATTTAAGAGCCATTTGGTCAGTAACAAAGTTCTTTTGAATTTTGTGCTCTCCACACCTTTGAAATAAATCGACTTTGAAGTAAATATGTCACTGTGATAAATTTTCTTTTCTGTCAACCACAACTGTATTTATTCTTTTGTCCAGATGCTTAAAGAAAATATATCTTCTACTCTTGAGTGGTAGAATGCATTATCCAGGACTATTATGAATGGTCGCTCCAATTTTTTTAACAAATTTTCTTCAAACCATTCTTCAAAAATATTTGCATCCATATTTCCATGGTAATCACCTGTATTCTTTGTGGACGAAAAAATTAAACTAGCGTCAGGAATAAAACCCTCATCATTTCCATGAAGTATAATGTAGCGTTTACCATTACCGGAACGATTAGAAGAATAACATTTCGTGGTGCCATCTTGCCAAGATGATTTTGACATATTTCCTTTAGCGAAAATCCAAGTTTCATCTAAAAATACAACTTGCCTCGAACTATCAGACATTTTATTGTTAATGTATTTTCTTAAAAAATGCCACCGTTTTGAAACAACATTAGAGAGTTCACACAACACTTGTCTATTATTTATTTGTATATCGAAAACCTAAATGTTTCAACACTCTTCACAAACTTGTTAAACTAATATCACACAGTTTCTTGTCTTTAATTTTTTGTATCACAGCACCAACTGTTACATGTTCTTTGGCTTTATACATATTATATATAATATTTTTAATTACAAGTTTAATTGACTGGTGCAAATCTAAAGTTTTTGGATGTTGACGATTTGTCTTGCTTACTTTATTTATTTCATCCTCACTCATGCTATTAATTATTCGGAATGTCCCCTGAATGTTTCTGAACTGCATAACAGATGTCAATGAACCCATATTATTTTTTCCAAATTGAAATAACTTTCGACTTTCAGAACTAAACGCCGTTCTTCTGGAGATAACACTCTACGTTTCGACTGTATTTTATTTTCTTTCAAATTTTGCTTTAAAGTACCGCTTCACTACACTCCCATAAAAAATAGGTACTTATATACACCGACTATACCCTAAAAAGGACGAGGGTTGTACAACAGACGAAACAATCGAACACAAATATTTAACAGCCAACGATAAACAAGCATAAACACTGTATTGATTGTGATTGAAAAAAACGTTCGCATGTTTATATAAGGTTTTTGCTGATTAGGTATTTTGTTAAATTATTAAATAACAAAAATACAACCCACGACCATCAATTAATTTTTAACGATAAACATAAGAGAAATATGATGACGTTTAAATTTAATCTACTTTGTCGATGCTAGTGTCGTTAACAGAAAGATATTTTAAACAGCATGAATCATTTTTCAATGATTGTGTGGATTTAAGAAATACATTACTAAACAAATTTTTTAAGTGTGTATAAAATCTTAACTGTCTTTTTTCCTGAGATTGCAATTATTATGACACATGGTATTTACTCCTTATTTTTCAAATAATATCTTCTTGTAAATGCATAACTTTTATTAGATCATTAACATAGCGAGATCCTCTCGCTCCCCTGCTGTTTACCTTCGCACTGGAACATGCAGTAAGGAAAGCTCAGCCACAATTGACAAACGGATTTGCCGCACAAGGATCAAAAATACTATTGGCCTTTGCGGATGACGTGGACACAATAGCACAATCCACCAGAGCTGCAAAAGAAGTTTTCACCCTTTTCGAGACCGGAGCCAAGGAAATTGGTCTTAAGGTAAACGAGGATAAGACCAAGTACATGCTAGTTACGAAGAACCCAAGACCAAGGGTTAGGCAAAACGTAACAATTAACGAATATCATTTCGAAGTCGTCAAAGAGTTTAAGTATCTGGGAGCGATCATAACATCTGAAAACAAATATGAAAATGACGTGGCAGCCAGGATAATAGCAGGAAACAGGACATATTACTCTTTAATAACCATTCTTAAATCAAAAATACTCTCAAAATCAGCAAAAATAAGAGTATACAAGACAATAATTCGACCCACAATAACGTATGGAAGCGAGACATGGACGCTGAACCAGCGGGAAACGACAAAATTACTGGTTCTTGAAAGAAAGATACTGCGGACTATCTACGGGCCTTGTAAAGAAGAAACAACAGGAGAGTGGAGAAGAAGACACAATAATGAACTCAAGACAATATATGGAGATGAAAACATAGTCCGCTACATTAAAGCAAACCGAATAAGATGGGCGGACCACGTCCTAAGGTTAAATAATGAAAGACTTCTGAACACCACATTCTGGGAAAGGCCCGATGGCAGGTCAGTTGGCCGCCCAAGAAAGAGATGGAAGGGCGCAGTGGCCAGTGATCTACGTAAAATGGGAGTGCAGCAGTGGGAAATAGCTGCTCAGGACCGACAACAATGGAGGAAAACAGTAAACGCGGCCAAGACTCACCTAGAGTTGTAGAGCCAAATGATGATGATGATGATCAAATGCATAACTTTGATTATTGGGTAAACTTACATTATACGATACGTCAAAAGAAATTAAAAAAATTAACATGTAATAAATTCACTGTTTAAATAAATATTCCGCTCTCGTACTATTGCAGTAACAGAGCAGTAAAATGTTATTCATAAAGGTAGTGTAAAATATATCGTCGCTTATCTGGTCCACTAGTAATAAAGTTACCAGCATATTTAATTACAAAGCGGTCTTCTTAGGTGAAAAATTCAACAGTCTTGGGTTTTGGCGAATGTAAACTCTATAATTCCTACGGTAAATCGCTGTTAATTCGAAAACTAAATATAAACACTGTATATCCCGTATATACAGTGTTTATACTTGGGAATATGGATATAATATGCTTTAAATTGGTAAAGTGAAAATTGTATGTAATAGTGTTTCATAGCAACCATATAAATTGTGGTTCTAGGTTCTACTCATTTTTTATTTTTTTATTGTTGAGGTTTACACTTGAGGTCCTATAATCTTCTTCAAAAGTCGTTATAATTCGACCGTAAGCTCTATTGGCTTGGATGACGGTCTCATCGAAATTTCAACACTGTAGATTTTTAAATTTCATTTTAATGTTTGCTTTACTAGAAGGTTTTACATTCTTTGTTATATACTGTTAAGTATACACAACTTACAATACTAATAATATTTCTTCTAGTTTATTTTTTACTGTATCAAAATATATAATAACTAATAAATCTACATCTTTAAATCATCGTTACTGATTATTTTCTACAATGTTAAGTATCCACTTTAGATATCTATCAACCCTAGTATAAATAGGAGGCAAATCTTCTACACCACAAGTTACAGTTGAAGCAAAGGATACAATTCCAATTTGATAATTTCTCAATTCGCCATCTAAATCAATAGTGGAATTAACTAAAGGTCCTCCGCTGTCCCCTTTACACGCGTCTTGCCTCTTTCCGTTGGCACACAGTTGACTATTTATAATGGGTTGAACCTAAAATATAATAAAGTTAGTAACAGAAACATATATATTAAAAATACCAAAAAGGTGAAATGCAGAACAATTCCTTTACTGGAGAAAGGGGGGTGAAATGACAGGTTAAATTTTTCGGCGAATATTTTTCTATAAAATGACTAGTTCAGGTGTTACATTGTGACAACTACAATGATCTTGGTATAGCCAATACATTTTCGAAATATTTAAATCTTGAGACAAATATTTGTTTAGTATACGATCTTGAATAATGGCTTACATACGAAGGAAAACTTTTAATTTCTATTGTCGTAACTGCTTAGTCACTGACTTTCTGTTGGCGTATATTCCTTCTTCTTTAGTCTTCAGAGCAGATATACTCTATTCCACGAATATACGACTGCTTTAAATTCGCTTTAAGATGTCGATTTAAATGGTCCAATGTGCTGAATTGTGCAATAGTAAATTCTCCCAATTTTTAAAATACTGTTACGACAGATATAAACCTTTTTACAGTTGTAATTCAGATTTTGAAGTATATAATTACTATCACGAAGTTTAGTATTGTAAACAAGTTGGTTTTTGAATTATGTGATTTAAACGAAATGTAACAATACTGAAGTGATCAAATAGTGTAATTTATTTAGCGAATATTGAATTAATACTAAAAAAACAAAAAAAACTTACTTATTCACTTATTCTCTTAATCATCTAAAACTATCATCAACGATCAGATTCACATCCATAATCAGTCGGCGATATATAAAACTGTATATAAATTTTCGTTACTTTTTAATATCTGTAACCACTCGGTACTTTAACTATCAATAGCCGGTATGTTATACCCGTTACTTTCTGAACTTTTAAGAGTAAATAAACTCAAAGCAAACTTTAAAAATATTTAAAACTAACAAAGTGAAATATTAGATCCTTTTTCTGGTTTCTGAACCATCGTTCTGCCAATTTATATTAAAAATAGTATATTTCTTTTTATTACAGTTGTAATACCTAATAAAGTAATAAAATGGTGTAATATCAAAGAAACCCGGCACGCCTCTTTGGTGTTTACATTTCACGGAAAGCTTACCCAAATGTCTGATGGACACATTTGGCTTCATAGACGTCATTGTATTTATTTGTAGATTTTAACTGAAATAATTTTAGTTTAGATGTCATACTAGTAGACCCTTTTTATTGGAAGAATGATTGGACCAATTTACTTTCATACTTCTACTTGCACAGTAAAATATTCGTTGTCGCAGTAAACCAAAACAGTAGTATATTCGTGGAATAACCTATACCACTTGTACAGTCTCTTTTCTTTTTAGCTAATACTTTTATTTTTCCTGGTTTTATATCGAGAGTATTTAAAAACATAGTACGGCAAACTTTAACTTTTTGTCCATCATTATTTAGAAAATAAAAAAATGTGAACTGTCTTTTGCTTGACAATTGTGTCGAAGTCTTTCAACTTCATTAAAATTCTGAGCAATAAACTGATTTTGAGAATTTACGTCTAGTGTATAAAATTTCTGTTTGCATAAGAAAGCAGGTTTTAAACAATTTCCAGGAACTTATTTGACGTTGAAAAATAAGAGATTCCCTTGTTTCTTGCATCCCGGTGCTTATTACGCTGCCAACCACTTCCTTGTTTTCTCTTCTTTTGTCAATTCATTTCTTTCTTTGCCTTTTTTATGTGAGTATTAGAAGGATTCTCAAGTATCTCATCATCAGACAAATACAAATTATTGTACCCGTCAACGTCCTCATATTCTTTGTCTGTTTTAGTATCTAATGTAATCCAGTTGAGGTAGATGAATGGTAAGTAGATGATATCAATGATGATCAGAATTCCTTATACACATAGTTTTTTCCCGTTAATACATTTTATACACTTTTTGTCTATTTAAATTTTTTAACCAAACTTAATTTAGTCACAAAAATAACTTCAAATCAATGGCAAAAACTAAAATCACACCTACCACTTTATTATCTTCAAATTTGACATAGAGACTACACAAATCTCAAATATAAAATAACCCTTAAGCAAACGTTGTGATGTATTATATTTTGTATAATATTTACAATAAATAAATTCTTTGACGAATTATTAATAAAGATTTGATATCGAAAATGCAGATCAATCGTAAATCGAAACTCATTTATTAGAATTCCTAGATATTTCATTTTCAACGTCAACCGATAGCCCGAATGTCCACTATCCCGAAAGAGTCGCATGTTATTTTTAGCTTTGTAGTAGTCTCTCAGATCAACTAATCGTCCTCGTTGACGTAAAGTGCTTCTCTGTTTACGCCTACACAAAACGAAGTTTTTTGAATCAACCATCAACTAGTTGGCTTACCAGTGAGAAACCGTAGATTCGTAAATGACAAATACTGATTTAAAATGCAGGGATTTTCTGATAAAAATTAAGGTAAAATATAAAAGGAAGAGTTAAGAAGCTGGTTACTTCTATAAAATAAGAAAAAGAAGATTGTACTATTGAAAATCAACAAGTGCAAGAAACTGATAAAGATGACTTAAGTCCATGGTGTATTTTTGATGAATTAATTATACATGACTCATCTAAACATACACCTGTATCGAGAGATATAAAAGAAGTCGACGTGTATTTGTCTGATGATATATTACCCACAAAAAAATGTCCATGTCAGTGGTGAAAAAACCATCGCCATGTATATCCTAACTTAACCACTATATTCATAAATTATTGTAGTATTGTAACAAAATCTGTTCCTTGTGAACACATGTTCAAAATTAATTTAATTAAAAAAAAGAAGAACACGGTTAACAAGAAAAGTGGAAAAACCGGCCATCCTGATGATAGCGCTGTTTTGAGGCCAGTGCATTTTACAATTGGACGTACCAAAGGTTAAAGCTAGGATCTCTGGTGTTAATAAAAAGACGATATGGCTCCTCCACTTTACTGGCCTCTTAGATGAGTAACAAAAATGTATCCGGATCCAGATGAAGTTACTAGAGTTGTGACGGTTAAAGTGCGTGGTAGTAAAACAAAAATAGCACTCAATCGTGTATGTGTTTTGCCAGTAGACTGTTAATATCAATTTAATTGTATGACTACAAATTTTAACTGCAATGTTAGTTTTTCCTTTTACTTCGTCAATCGTTGTTTTCTTTTGTTATTTCTGTTTTGAAGTTTTGAAAGATCAGCGGCGGCGGCATGCTTAGACATAAAGTTTATTTTCTTTCCTTTTGTCTATCTTTTATGTATAAGTTAAATAATAAAGAATACAATCAGGAATATGGTCAATCATCATTTAATAGCCCGAAGTTCATACATTAGCTTATGATGGCTTCCTATCTCTGCCGATGTTGTGTAATGTACCTACCTACTCACATGTAAGATAATTAAAGTATCTATGTATTTCTATATAGTTTTTAGTCACCTGGTATATGTTATTTACAATTATGAAAAGTTCTCATGTATAATCACTAATAATTATTTGCTGTTAGAAATCAGAATCAATACTCTTCATAAATATTTTCCTATTTAGAATAAATAAGTTTCGCTAGTTTATTCGCCTAATACTTCGTATCTATGGAATAATAATAATTTATTTCTCTTATTTCTTTGTTCGATAAGCTATCCGTATTTGCTATTTTAATATTAATATTTGAGTCCAATCTCTTGTACTCAAATCCATCCAGAAACATCGTTAAATAATTGTAGATAACAGAACTTATAAATTCATAGTTTTAAGAAATAACAGGCAGTGTAATTTTCATCCTCTAATATAATAAATTTATACATGTCAATATATTCTGTTTAATTCCAAAACAAAGAGTTAGTCCGGAGAAGAAATAAACGCATAGTATTCCATAACAAAATTTGGTGTCAGAAGTGGGATATTAGTAGCAGAGTTCCTCTGATTGCTGATAGAAGGAGAGCTGAGGAATTTTTGAATTGACTTGTTTCCTTCGAGGAATCATTCAAAAAAAACTGTCAGTGTGGAAAAATCGCCACTACAACTAATTACATTGGGGTCCAGTACATCCAGTTCGAAATCCAGTTCCAGTCATAACCCAATTGTAGTTCCATCGGAAGTAGAGGTGAACCCGTGGAATAATAGACTATGCGACCAACAACAATATTCTACTTGTAAGTACATTCTATCTTAAATTCTGTCTCATATTTTAAAAATCTTGTAAACGTATGTCTACTTTATATCCTGATATAAGTAACTTATTTGACGAACAAATACCTTCTCCCGACTCAAATTCTCTTTCAAATTCTTCTACTTCTAATTCAAATAAAATGTCAGTATCAATTGAAATAGCTGAAAAACTTCTCATTAGATTTGATGGTACAAAATCAAAATTATACGAATTCATAGACAATTGTGATAAAGCATACAATTTAGTAAATCCGCAATCCAAACCCATCTTATTAGCCATTATAGAAACTAAATTAACCGATAAAGCTAGGGCCATAACTAGAAACAGAACATTTGACGAATGGAAAGATTTAAAAGACTTCTTATTAGATGCTTATTCTGAACGCCGAACTGAAGGTCAGTGGCAATTGGAATTACATTCCTTACGTCAGATGCCCAGTGAAAATGTAATGTTATTTGCAAATAAAGTTGAAAATTGCTATATAAAATTAATAAATACACTTGATCCAGACTTATCTCCAGATGCAAGAAATGCATGTACTAAACTCTTAAAAACTCAAGCACTAAATGTCTTTATTAGAGGATTAAACAAAGACCTCTCTATTTTAATCAAAGCCCGAAATCCAGATTCCTTAGAAAGAGCTGTTGCTATAGCAATTGCCGAAGAACAAGAACAGTTATCAAGACAAGAAATTTTCAGACCATTCTGTAATATTTGCAAACGAAATAACCATTCCTCAAATAACTGTCGATATAAAAACAATTCAGATAGAAATGTTAGATATCTTCAAAATTCTAGTTTTCAAAACCCAAAATATCCTAATTCAAATCTTCAAAGGTCAAATTCTCAAAATCAAAATTATA